CAATGTGTAATTATCAAATTAGGTTAATTTGCATATTTATCACCTCAAATATTTGTCATTTCTTTGTGTTACAAACATTCAAAAGCTGCCTTTCTAGCTATTTGGAAATGCACAATAAATTGTTAATTATAGTTACCCTGTAGTGTTAATAGAGTACTAGAGTTTATTCCTCCTATCTAGCTGTAAATTTTTCTTTTTTTTCCTTCTTTTTGAGATGGAGTTTTTCTCTGTCATCCAGACTGGACTGCAGGGGGCCTATCTTGGCTCAGTACAACCTCCACCTCCCGGGTTCAAGTGATTCTCTTGCCTCAGCCTCCTGAGTAGCCGGGATTACGGGGGCCTGCCACCATGCCCAGCTAGTTTTTGTATTTTTGGTAGAGACAGGGTTGCACCATGTTGACCAGGCTGGTCTTGAACTCCTGAACGCAAGTGATCTGCCCGCCTTGGCCTCCCAAAGTGCTGGGATTACAGGTGTGTGCCACTGTGCCCTACCTAGTCGTGATTTTGTATCTGTTAACAAACTTTTGGCTAGTCCTCCTGCTCCTTCCCCTTCCCCAACTCTAGTAATCACTGTTGTACTGTCTACTTCTTTGAGCTCAACTCTTTTGCTGTTATATATGACTGAGAGCATGTAGTATTTATATTTCTGTGCCAGGCTTATTTCACCTAATGTCCTACAAGCTCATCTGTGTTCCAATAAATGACAGAATTTTGTTCTTTTTCAATAGTTAGTATTCCACTGTATATATATATGACGTTTTCTTATTCATCCACCTGTTGGTAGACACTTAGGTCAATTTCGTATTTTGGCTATTGTGAATAGTGCTGCAATAAACATGGGAGTCCAGAGATACTGATTTCTTTTCCTTTAGCTATTTATGTCCAGTGGTGGGATTGCTAGGTCATATGGTAGTTCTTAGTTTTTTGAGGAACTTCCATACTGTTTTCCATAATGACAGTACTGATTTACATTCCCTCCAGGAGTGTGTAAGAGTTCCCCTTTCTCCACATTCTTGCCAGTGTTTATTATTTTTTATCTTTTTGATAATAGCCATTCTAAATGGGGTGAGATGATATCTCATTGTAATTTTGATTGGCATTTCCCAGATGATTAGTAATGTTGAGCATTTTCTTCATATGCCTGCTAGTCATTTGTATGTCTATTTTGAAAGATGTTTATTCAGCTTATTTGCCCATTTAAAAAATTGGATTGCTTTTGTTGTTGTTGTTTGAATTCCTTATATATTCTGGATATTAATCCCTTGTTGGATGGGTCAGTTGCAAATATTTTCTCCCATTCTATAGGTTTCTCTTCACTCTGTTTATTGTTTCCTTTTCTGTCCAGAGCTTTTTAGTTTGATCTAATCCCAATTGTCTGCTTCTGCTTTTATTGCCTGTGCTTTTGAGGTTTCCATAAAATCTTTGCACAGACCAGTGTCCTAAAGCATTTCCACCATTTTCTTCTAGTAGTTTCTTAGTTTTGGATCTTACATTTAAGTCTTTAATCCATTTTGAGTTGGTTTTTGTATATGGAGAGAGATGGGGGTTAGTTTCATTTTTCTGCACATAGATATCCAGTTTTCCCAGCACCATTTATTGAAGAGATTATTCCTTCCCAAATGATTGTTTTGGTGCCTTTGTTGAAAATCACTTGGTTATAAATATGTGGATTCATTTCTGGGTTTCTTATTCTGTTCCATTGGTCTGCGTGTCTGCTCTTAGGCCAGTACCATGCTGTATTGGTTATCATAGCGTTGTAGTATATTTTGAAGTCCAGTAGTGTGATAACTCCAGCTTTATTTTTTTTTGCTCAGGATTACGTCGGCTATTTAGTGGGGTTTTTTTTTTTTTTTTTTTTTTTGGTGCTTCTGTGTATTTTTTTGTGTGTGTGTGGTTTTGTGGATTGTCTTTTTCCATTTCTGTAAAGAATGTATTTTGGTATTTTGGTAGGCATTGTATTGAATCTATACACTGCTTTTGGTAGGTAATATGGTCATTTTCACAATATTAATTCTTCTAACCACGAACATTGGATGTCTTTCTATTTTTTGGTGTGTGTTCTCTTTAATTTCTGTTATTAGTTTTTTTGTAGTCATCCTTGCAGAGATCTTTAACCTCTTGGTTAAATGTATACCAACGTGTTCTACATTTTTTGGTGAGTAGGATTGCTTTCTTGATTTTTTTTTTCCCACTAGTTTATTTTGGTATATAGAAACGCTGCTGACTTTTGTATGTTTATTTTGTATCCCGCAAGTTTAATGAATTTGTTTTTAAGTTCTAACAGTGCAGATAAACAGTTTAATTTCTTCCTTTCCAGTTTGGATGTCCTTTATTTTTATTTTTTTCCCCTGCTTAATTGCTTGGGCTAGGACTTCCAGTACTGTGTTGAATGGAAATGGGCATCCTTGTCTTCTTTCAGATGTTAGAGGAAAAACTTTCAACTTTCCCCAACTTAGTATGATGTTGACTGTGGTTTGTCGTGCCTGTATTGTGTTGAGATATGTTTCTCCTATACCTAACTTGTTGAGAGTTTTTATTGTGAAGGGATGTTGAATTTTATCACTTGATTTTCCTGTGTCTATTGAGATGATCATATTGTTTTTGTTCTTCATTCTGTTGATGTGATGTATCATATTTATTGATTTCATATGTTAAACCATTCTTGCATTCCTGGGATAAATGCTACCTGATCATGGTGAGTGATCTTTTTAATGTGCTGCTGGATTCAGTTTGCTAGGATTTTTGCATTTCTATTAATCAGGGATATTGGCCTCTAATTTTCTTTTTTTGATGTGTTTTTGTCTGGTTTTAGTATCAGGGTAATGTTAGCCACACAGAATGAGTTAGGAAGAAGAATTCCCTCCTCTTCAATTTTCTGGAATAGTTTGAGAATTGGTATTTCTTTAAATGTTTGATAGAATTCTGCACTGAAGACTGGGTCCTGGACTTTTCTTTGATGGGAGATTTATTTTTACAGAGAGAATCATGTTTAACATGAAAAATACAAATTTAGTATGTGTAGCCATGCAGATGAGATGGAAATACATTGGTTAAGACAAAGTATGTACTTTTAATTAAATGTTAAACAAGATGAACTGATGAGCCTTGTAAGCACATGCTTACCCTTTAAGAATAAAAATTTCTATAAGATTGATTATTAAGATTAAATATCATTTTGAGTTTTACGTAGAGGAGTTCAGTTGAACGTGGAGTATGTTTTGAAGAGAGCAAAAGATAAAAGAGAGGTAAGTACTTTATAGAATTAGAGCTGTAACTTAGGGAAGAAGAGGAAATGCTGAAAGATCAAAAGAGTATGACCTGGTAGCTGCCATAGATACTTGACAGTTTATCATATTGACAAGAGATCTGACTTTTTTATGAATAAAAGGAAAAGACCTAGGTCCCTTAGGTAGCAGTTAGAGGGAGGCAGAGTTTAAGTGGCTAAAAGGAGGAACTTGTGGTTCTCCAAAATGGAATAATAGGTTCCCTTGCTGGGCATATAGGATTTTTGCTTTTGCTGGTTATGACCCTTTGACTGAGGTGTTTCACTGGGGATTCAGGCATCAGATAGTTATTTGTATTAGGTGATCTCTTTTTTGTTTTGTTTTGTTTTTGAGACAAGGTCTCACTGTGTTGCCCAGGCTGGAGTGCAGTGGTACAATTTCAGCTCACTGCAACCTCAACCTCCCAGGCTCAAGTGATCTTCTCAACTCAGCTAGCGCCTAGTTGTTGGGACTTACAGGTGCGTGCCACCACCACACCCTGCTGATTTTTTTTTTTTTTTTTTTTTTTTTTTTGAGACGAGTTTCGTCTTGTTGCTCAGGCTGGAGTGCAATGGCGTGATCTCAGCTCACCTGCAACCTCTGCCTTGTGGGTTCACAGCAATTCTTCTGCCTCAGCTCCTAAGTAGCTAGGGTTACAGACGCCTACCACTTATACCGTCACATGCCGGCTAATGTTTGGTATTTTTAGTAGAGATGGGGTTTCTCCATGTTGATCACGCTGGTCTTGAACTCCTGACCTCAGGTGATCCACCTGCCTCGGCTTCCCAAAGTACTGGGATTACAGGTGTGAGCCACCACACTCGGCCTGTTTTTGTATTTTTTGTAGAGACAGGGTTTCACCATGTTGCTCAGGCTGGTCTGGAACTCCTGAGCTCAAGTGAGCCGCCCACCTTGGCTCCCCAAAGTGCTGGGATTTCAGGCGTGTGCCACTGTGCCTGGCTTTAGGTGACCTTTTTAGGTCTTTTCCAACCTAAATTATCCATGGAACTGTTATTTCTTTTTATAAAAAGAAATACAAATTATTTTTTGTGTTCACTTTAGTCCTAAGTTCTATTGGTTGGCTTTATGTATTTCATAGCTTCTTTAAATTATATGCAATATAGCTTAAAAGCATGGTGATAACTACTGCATTTATGTAAGTAGCTTTAATTGCTCTTAGTTCAGTTTGTTTCTTGTCATTTTATTTCTTACGCTTTTTCTGGGTTATAGACTGCTCTTCTATGTAGATATTTCTTCTTTTTCTTTTTCTTTTTATTGCAGTGTTGGGGTTTTGCTGTGTTGCCCAGGCTGGTCTTGAACTCATGGGCTCAAGCCATTCTGTGATTATAGGCATGAACCACCGTGCCCGGCCCTGCTTTAGACATTTCTAATGGACTGTGCTGTTCTTTTCAGATTATTTTTCCATAGTCATTGCTGCAGCCATCCTTAAAACAAAAATAACAATTGAACTCAGAGATAAAACATATATATCTTTTAATGTAAATACTAAAATATCACTTTATAAATTCAGAAAATCCAGAGTAGGGAATTTCTGGCCCAAGGCCAGAGCTTTCCAATTGAAGTCTTTATTTTGCATATTCTGTGGCTTTTCTGTTTTAATTCTATTTGCTTCCATTTATTTTTGCTTTCCTTAGCTTGACATAATATAAAACTGAATATATCTTAGTGGTACTTTGCATTGACTAATTTTTTTGCCTTTTTAACTTAAAATGTGAAATAAAATCAATCTTCATTACTATATCTCTGATAGTTTTTGTTTCTTCTTCTGTTGCTTAAATTTGTTCCATTGTTATTCCTGAAACCCTTAAAAAAATCAAGACACCTTGGACCACGACTAGTACAGTTTTTATTCTAGTACAGTTGCTGACTGTGTGTTTGTATGTGTGTGTGTATAGTGTGTATAAACTTGCATTTTTGTGCTGTTCCAAGAGACTTTGTTTTCCAAGATTTTGAGCCTACTATTTGTCTATTGAATTCATTTTTCCCCTGGAGATCTGTTGCCCAGAGCCCCCTGTCTGGGTTTGTGATTTTCTAGGCATGTTATATTATCTTCTATCTCTGAGCTTTACTGCTCTCCTTAATTAGAGCTATTATTTCCCTGTATTCCATCTTCTTTATTTTTTTTTCTATACCCTCTTTCTTTGTTGAAGTCCTTGGTAATTTTCTAATACCCTCTAATACCCTCATACTTGACTAATGATTTGCTTTTACATAGAATCCAAAGTTGAATGTCACTTTTCCTTCAAATTTTGTCTCGTTGTTTCTTAGCCTTCTAGCATTTAATGTTGCTGCTCTGTTGCCTGATACTTATATAAGGCTTGCTGCATTGTTAGGTTACCTTTCCTCCAACCCAGCTTTAGGATCTTCTCTTTACCTTTTGATGTTCTGAAATTGCAGTGATATATCTGCATTAGCCTTTCATTTATTTTCCTGGGCACTTGGTGGGCCTTTTCAATTTGGGGCGTGTTCTCTTAAACTCTGGGAACTTTTCTTGTGTTTTCTCTGCAAACTCCTGGAAGACAGATGTTGGCTGGTGCTTTTTACCTATTTCTTGCATCTTTCCAACATTTTGCTTTATATCTTTCTAGATATTTATTGCCATATTTTCTACCTCTTTGAATATTTCATTTTGACAAATATTTTACTGTTTCTAAGAAATCTTTCATGTGTCCTCTTTATTCCATGTTTTTGGTAGTAGTCTATTCTCACAGGGATATACAGTAGACTTTTGAATAATGTGGGATTTAGGGGTACAGAACCTCCATTCTTTGCATTCAGAAATTCATATATAACTTTTATCTTCCTCCTAATAGCCTATGTTGACTGGAAGCCTTACTGATAGCAGAAGCAGCTGATTAACACATATTTTGTATAGTATATGTTATGTGTATTATATACTGTATTCTTACAATAAAGTACACTAGAGAAATATTAAGACAATCATCAAAAAGAGAGTACGTATTCATTAAGTGGAAGTAGATCATTAAAAAAGTCTTCACCCTCATCTTCATGTTGAGTAGGTTGAGGAGGAGGAAGAAGAGGGGCTAGTGGCTAGTCTTACTGTTGCACGGGTGGCCGAGATAGAAGAAAATTGATATATAAGTGGAACTGCACAGTTCAAACCCATGTTGTTCCAGGGTCAAGTGAATAAGTGTCTCTTTAGATGTAGTCTGAATTAATTTTTGTATTTGTTTATTTTGATCTTTCTTGTAGTACTGCATGCTTTCCCCAAAGGTCAGATTGTTTTTCGTTGGTTGTTAATGTTTACAATTAATAGGAAGTCTAGTCATGTTTTGCTGTGGGATAAGTAGGCTTTAGATAGATAGCCTAAGGTTATTTTGGGGAACCAGGGTAAGAAGTACCTTATCATTAGGTGATAACTGTCCTATTTCCTTCAGTTCATTCAATTTAAGTTCAGGGTTAAGAAAATACTTTCTCTTACTTTGGGTTCAATGCTTGGTTGTAGGCCTTGCTGGGTATTCAGGTGGGGGAGGAGATGAGGTTGACCTCTCAGTATTAAGGCTTTCAGTTAATCCTTAATGTCTAGCCCAGCTCACTACTTACGCTATCTATCATTTCATTTTTAGAGGTTCTAAAAGTTTGTTGGACAAGGTTGTTCACAGCCTCTTAAGCCTCAGCTTCTTTGGACCCTGGGCTGTGACTTTTTTGTGCTCTGTTTTAGTTATCTTTTCTATTCAGTTTTCTCTTCATCTCCTAGAAATGTATTTAAATCTTTGATTTGCTTTTGGTCTTCTCTTTATTCATTTTGTTGTTACAGGTTTTTACCTTCTATTCCTTCTCATTTTAATGGGATTTGGGGATGGGGAGAGAAATAAAGATGTACAAAGTCTGCCGTATTGAATCAGTGACTCTTTTAATTAAGTCATAATAAATATAAAATTTCTGGCATACAGTAATTCTTACTTAGGGATTTTGGAACCCTCTCCATTATTATCTTGATGGTTATTTCTTTCATGGTGTATTCGCATTACTTTCCTTGCTTTCAGATTTTTTCACCTGTTAGTAATATTAATCTTGTGTTAGTAATAAAGCTATTAACAAACTTATCTGAGTTTGCAGGGTTCTCCGGAGAAACAGAACCAATAGACTGTGTGTGTGTGTGTGTGTGTGTGTATTTATAGCGAGCGAGAGACAGAGAGAGAGGGAGAAATTGATTGATTGATTTTAAGGAGTTGGCTTACGTGATTGTGGAGACTGGCTGGCAAGCCCAAAATCTGCAGGGTAGGATGGCAGGCTGGAGACGTAGGGAAGATTTGATGTTGCAGTTTGAGTCCAAAGGCATTTTGGAAGCAGAATTTCTCTTATTCAGGGGACCTCTATTTTTGTCTCTTCAGAGACAATTGGTTGTGGCTGACCCACATCATGGAGAGTGATCTTTTTTACTCAAGTCTTTTGATTTAAATGTTAATTATTTAAAAAATACTTTCACAGCAGCATTTAGACTTGTGTTTGACCACATATTGGGGCATCATGGCCTAGCCAAGTTGACATATAAAATGAACCATCTCTCACGACAGAAAAGTTGATGTGAGTTAATGCATGCATGTTAATTAATTTGATTTAGCCATTCCACAGTGTATACATGTTTCAAAACATGTTGTACACCATAAACATATATTATTGTCAACTAAATAATTAAAAAATCAAATTAACCATCATAGTAAGGTCCCCAAAACTCGGAACATGATAAATTATTCTTTGAACTGCTATTTTATATATGTTGTCATGAAACTAGTGTTAATCTTAGGATTTTTGAGAAAGTGGTTTCAAGATGAGTATTGTAGGCAAATGCAGCTTAAAAAGAAAACCCCCGACTCTTTTCTCATAAGGAATTGTATATATAAAGGAAATTGAAAAAATAGTTAATATGTGTGGATGTTAATGTACTAAATACTGTGCAAAACCACTTTGCTAGCGCTGTCTTATTAAATCTTCACGAAAACCTTAAGAGCTGTAGATACTACAGGTTGAGTATCCCCTATTTAAAATGCTTAGGACCAGAAGTACTTCAGATTTTGGATTTTATTTTTTGGATTTTGGAATATTTGCGTTATACTTACTGGTTCAGCAAGCCTGCCTAATCTGAAAATCCCAACTCCAAAATGCTCCAGTGAGCATATCCTTTTGAATGCCATTTTGATGTTCAAAAAGTTTTGTATTTTGGATTTTGATTTTAGGGTTAAGGATACTCAACCTGTATTACTAATCTCATTTTGTAGCCCAGTAAACTGAAGTTTTGAGAATGGTTAATTTCCCAAGGTTATTAATATGTAAGTCATAGTACATGGATTACAATCATTCTAATTTTTGTTGCCTTCAAGTACGTAAGTTCTGTTAAGATCAGTGCTCTAAATCGGTTCTCAGATTTCGTTTAGCTTTGTAGTCAGCAAGATTAGGATGTTATTTTGTTTTTTTGTGTGTGTGTGTTTCTTTTTAGTTTTGTTCTTGAAAGAACAAAGAAGATGGTTCTCTTTCCTGTTTAAAGAATATACGTGTGTTTGTGTTAATTCTATGGTATGAGTGCCCGAAATGGCGCTTAGTTATTTTCCGTAGGCACTTGAACCATTCGCTGTTTTAACCGGAGTTTAATATAGAAGAGGTAAGTATAATTTTTATACTCCGTGTGACCCATAGTTAACCCGGACCATCCACAGACTACTCACCAGTCGTCAGGGAGTTGAACATGCATATCTGTGGACCAAACCGATGATGTTTCTCTGCACCTACCAAAGGGAATCGGGTTCCCACATGCACTTAGGAAAAAAGAAAGACCACGTGGGTGCCAGATATTGGGCGAAACCCCACCCCTGATACTCAACGTGGGTTCTTTTCTATTTTCCTAAGCGTCAACTGGTCTGAGAAATAAAGGGAAAGAGTACAAAAGAGAGAAATTTTAAAGCTGGGTGTCCGAGGGAGACATCACATGTCGGCAGGTTCCGTGGTGCTCATGGCTCTTAGTTATTAAAGACCAAGGACTTTAGAGAGAAAAACAGTCATTGGCCAGTGATTTAGTTAATCTTGAATACCAGAGAAGTGCTCTAAAAATGTGCCTTTGTTAAGTGCCAACAGGTAGACGTGTACTGCAAGCTACTTGAACCCTTCTTTATCAGATAAGGTTGATTCAGGATGGAATTCATCTAGATATAAGGAAAAAACCTCTAACTTCATACTCATTTTACAGTTGAAGAAATTGTGGTTTATGAATAAACATTACCTTGGATTTTTTTTTTTGTACAAATTAGCTGATTTTGACTTTATTCATTTATTGAATGTCTGTTATATGTCAGGTAATATGCTAGGCAGTGGACATACAATGTTGAGTAAAACAAAACTCGATCTCTTCTTACGGAGCTTAAAGTTTAGTATAGAAATAATTTTTCCTCTTATTTTCCCAGGATGTTTAGTAAGTCTATTTATTTAACGTAAACTTACTGGGAGAGGTTGTCTTCCGTGAGTTTTGAGTGTTCTTGAGCTTTCTTGCTCAGCATGGCAAGAATGCAAGGTCCTGACCACTCTTTTCCTGGACCGTTTCTCAGGGTCGTAATTATAGCAAGCAGCATTGAAGGATGACATTACATTTGCTCTCTCACCTCCACTTCTTAAGTCTACATTCAGCAGGCTTGCTTACTGCTCACTATAAAAGGCAATGCCTTCTCAACAATATTCCTCTCGTGTATTTCAACCCATTGTGTGTGTAGGCATCTATATAGGCATACCTGTGTTGTCCCTGTGGAGCTTGAGGAGACAGGGGGATCTTGTCATCGTGCTGCTTGCTGTGCCATGGGTGACAGAGTTCATTGTCTTTTACCCAGTACCCTTGTGTCTTCTGTCAGTGAACATGAATCAGTAATAGGCTAGTTCATTAGTTTGTGAATAAGGTAAAAATCCCAGACCCTTTACAGTTCTTGCGGTTCTCAACATTACTGTGTTTAATCCCAGGAATTATTTATGGAGGTTTAGCAATACTTTAATTATTAAAAATGTTTAAATTTAAATAATTTACCTCTAGGAAGGCGGGGTTTGCAACTATGTATGTTATTCATACTGACACTAGAATATAGACATTTAGTAAACTTTGACTGGAAAAATGCACAAGGAGAAGGTGGGACCAGATAATGAGACTAGAAGTTAATAAAATGTGTGATGCAGGTGCGGTACAACTTTGCCTCACAGATTTATAGCAATTACTGTTGAAGAGGAAACATTCCAAAGTAAAGAATACAGTGTCCTGAATGTAAAAACAAATTTAGTATCCAGGAAAAGGGAAATCATTTTTGACACTAAAACTGGAAAGAAATTTCAACCAGTGTGATATGAAAAAATCCTTAACATAATTTCAGTGAACATAGGACTTTTTCTTATATCCCTCAATATATATTCCAGTATGAGCAGTATTACAGGGGCTAGCATCATGGTCTGACTGATCCAATCCCAGGATAGATTTTAGCTTGTCTTTCAAACAGCCTACCTTGGATATCAGTTGTCACTAGATTTTTAAATATATTGATAAGAAGATAAGTTATGTGATACTATCTGAGAACTGTTGAGAATGTAATTAGCCTTTTGTTTTATTTTGCCCTATACATAAGTTTTATTAATCATCAGGGCTGGGTATGAGATTGCATAAATTCAGGCTCTGATAAGAGTGTTTGTTAGAATAGGAGGCTGTTCTGCTGTCCTTGTAGAGCAGGGGTCCCCAAACTGTGGGCCATGGACCAGTACCAGTTCAGGGCCTGTTAGGAACCCAGCTGCACAGCAACAGGTGAGCTGCGGGCAAGTGAGTATTACCGCTTGAGTTCTGCCTACTGTCATGTCAGCGTTGGCATTAGATTTTCATAGGAGCGTGAACCCTATTGTGAACTCTACATGTGAGGGATCTAGGTTGTGCTCTGCTTATGAGAATCTAATGTGTGATGATCTGAGGTAGAACAGTTTTATCACAAAACCACCCCCTCATCCATGGAAACATTGTCTTCCATGAAACTGGTCCCGGGTGCCAAAAAGGTTGGGGGCCGTTGCTGTAGAGGACAGGGCCAAAATTTTCCTCAAAAAGTTATTTTGGGGTCCTCTCTAATGCCTTAAATAGGCAGGAGTAGCCCCACACCTTCAGACAGGAAGATCATTTTGGTGTATTTTTTGTTTTATAGCCCACATTTAAAGTAAGAGCTGGCTGAGTAAAATTAATCAATTTTATCCTCTTTAGTTCCAATGATTTTTCTTGCTGTTTTCTTCTGGTCATGGCAGGATTGCAGAATCCCTTTTTGCCATTTTTACTGTAGTTGTTCCCTGGATTCTTTTGGAACTCTGTAGACCTGTGTCTTCTCCTTTTGTACTCTTTTCCGTTCCATATTTATTTGCTTAGTTGGAAGATCTTCTCAAAAGATTTCTGATCTGAATCTACTGGTGTTGTCGCTATTTTCTGCCATCTGTTCTTTCCTAAAATACTACCTTTTCCTAATTTTGGTCTTTTGTCATAGGTTTTTTATCATGTCTTTAAGTGAACCATGAATGACAAATTAGTTATCAAATATGTGCTTACATAACAAGAACGATAAATTGTCATAGAATGATTACATGGAAGTTTCCGGAAGTACGAGAATATCCAAAATGATGACATTGTTTAAAGCATAACTGATGTCATTTCTGTTTTCCTGCTAAAGCCAATTTCCTGTAAACAGAGTCTGAGATTAGGATGAGAGCATTTTAATGGTTGACAACTCCAGTGGGTACCAATCTCAGAAGATACAGTGTGAATAGTGCCTGTTTCAGGTGAGTGGACAACAGCCTGGGTAGTTTAAGGAAGTGAATAAAAAAATAATTTTGATACAGAGAATATCAAGGATCCTTGAGCAAATGTTTTCTTAACCTTAGTTTTGACCTCCTTTTCCTTTGTCTAATTAGCCTCATAATTACTAATTTTTTTTCTGTCAAGAATAAAAATAAATAAATCTCTAAGCTCTTTGCTATCTTTTGAGGACACTGATCAAAAAGAAACTCTGATAAAAGATAGAGAGCTGCATCTTGATTCTTACGGGATCTCAAGATGAGACTGGCTAATTTATGGAGGCCCAGAAGAGTGATTACTTGTTTCAAGGCCCTATCCTTGGTTCGCCTTCACTATCCTAGAAATAAATGTATCCACCAGCTACAGAAGCTGAATTTCATAATTCCTTGGCAGTGGCAGATCCTTGTTTTTTAGAGAAGTAGGAAAACTGGCTACCTAGATTTCTCCAAATCATAGACCTAGGTCTCCTCAGCCTCCCTGGCTGTCCATTTCTTATTTCCTCAGCCTCCTGTCTGACCCCAGAAACACTTTCTGTACTCTAGACTCTATATTCTTTTCCTAGTCTCTGTTGCCATCATGAATTTGCTTCCCATAGGTTGTAATTTACTGAGTCATCACCTTGATTTAGAATTTTTGGCCTTGGTTTTAGTTAGGATTAGGCTCAGCTAACAGTGATAGAAAACTCCAGATAACAGTGGTATAAAGAAATTAATTTATTTTGTCATGCAGTAGCTCAGAAGGAAGTGACTGAGAGCTAGTATGGAGTTGGACAGTGCCAGGGACCCAAACTCCTTCTACCTTGCAGTATCATGTGTGATCACTAATTCCGCCTTTATTGCATAGTTTGAGATGGTCCCTGCAGCTATCAGATACTGATGCCACTCAGTAAAAAAGGGGAGGGAAAGATAATATCTCCTTGATTTAAAATCGTATCCTGAAAGTTGTATGTTCATTTCTACTCACATCCCATTGGCCACACCTTAGTAACCACAGCTATCAGTAAGGTAGATTGAAAAGTGTCATTTTTATTTTGGGTAACCATGTCCCCAGCTAAATATTAGGAATTCCAGTAAATGAGGAAGAATGGCTGAATGGTTATTGGGCAACAGCTAGCAGTTTCAAGTACAATTTCTATAGCTCAGTCTGTGAGGAATCTGAGATCAGTACCTTTTCCTAGCTCGCTGGTCATCCTGGGACCCGTGTTTGACTACTTGGCCTTTTTTCGGAGCTCATCCTGCCTCACTTGTCAAAGACTTCTAGACTGTGTATCTGTATTTCCTCCCTAACAAATGGAGCTTGGGAATCAGATAAAGCCCAGTTCTCTGTTCATAGAGCATGATCATTTGCTTGTATCAGAAATTTTAGAGGGAGATTGAATTCTTGTTTTACTCTGAAGGAGATGGGTGTCAAAATTGCTACTTGTGTATTGGAGATATTTCATTAAGGTAAGGTAAGCAAACTTTTTTGATTGTACAAGTTTATATATAAGACATTTGAGTGCACACCAGTATTTTTACATGTGTTTATATTACTTGTCTTACTATTCTACTGTATTAATGTATTTTGCATAACAAATACAGTAGATATTAAATATTTTAAAATGTTGAGCCATAGATAAAATATTTATACTTTTCAAATTATTAAGTAAAATTATTAGTTGTATAAGAACTTAACTTGGAATGCATTATGATTGCACATGCTTAATTAGTTTTGGAAATTTCATCTTATTTTGATCTAATTTTTTACATATCTGGTTCCAAATTGAGCTTGATACTGGGTTTTAATGGCTATCATAGCTGAAAAAGATAACTCGATTATGCATGCATTTAAATGAAAGAAATTTATTGTAGGCTCTAGTTACTAAGTTATAATCTTAGTTTTTTTTGTTTTAAATACAGAAAAGCTTTTATTTTAGTTAATTAGAACATTTCTGCCATCTTTCAGTGTGCTTGTTGTTCTTTTAAACTACTAGGAAGTGGTTACATTAAATAGTTATTACCATATAAGATCAAAATTCACTGAACTTTTTTTTTGTTTAGGAAAATTTTTAAATGTCCAGATTAAAAACATTTTTTTTTAAGTGCCTCATTTCATTTTTAGCCAGATATCACATAACAGTGAAAACATACCTAAACATCAATTTTCTTAGCCCGTGTTTTTTCTTTTTAAAGTAAGAAAAGAGTTACTTTCTTTCTTATCACTAAAATATCATTTTATCTAGAAGGGACAGATGAAAGGTGTCTATTTTCTCATATGACTTATCACATCTGCTTATAATAGAAAAGGCCAGCATGTTTGTAATACTTGTCTTATTTGTAGAACATTTATTTTGTAAAACAAAAATGTGTAATTTATTAAGTATAATAGCTCTTTTAAGGCCTTTGCTGTGAATTAATGGAGAATTTTTATGTGGCATAAAGATTTTAATAATCACTTCCCATTTCATTAAAATTACTGTTTTGTTTTGTGGTGGTTTTTTTCTTTTTTTTTTTTGAGACAGAGTCTTGCTCTGTTGCCCAGGCTGGACTGCAGTGGTGTGATCTTGGCTCACTGCAACCTCGGTCTCCTGGGTTCAAGCAGTTCTCCTGCCTCAGCCACCCAAGTAACTGGGATTACAGGTGCCTGCCACCACGCCTGGCTAATATTTTTGTATTTTTAGTAGAAACGGGGCTTCATCATGTTGGCCAGGCTAGTTTCGAACTCCTGACCTCAAGTGATCCACCCACCTCAGCCTCCCAAAGTGCTTGGATTACAGGCATGAGCTCCCGCACCTGACCTAAAATTACTGTAAACAGTCTACTGTTTTACAAAGTATTTTTAGTATAAAAGGAACTGTATTTATATTAATGACATTCTGTAACAATGCAAAGTGCTGAAGCCAAACAAATGCATTAAGGGTATCAATTCCTCTCTACTTTATGGAATTTTTACTCTTTCAGTATCCTTCCTTTTGGATAAATTGACGTGTATTCATTAAGGATACTAGTGGCAATCTGATTAAATGTTAGTTAAGTTTGATTTCTTTTTAATTTTTAGGTAGTATTTAATCATAGGTTGATTGTCATGTCTACCCCTTTAGTTATACACACCACCTTAGGAAATGATTTGCTTAATGTATAAAGTCTAATAAAAGCTGCAATAAGGTTGTCTTTTGAAAGAGTGACCAATTTAGAGTTAGTATCTTTTTAAGGTATACTGACTGTTTTTTCATGTGTTTCTCCATAAAAAGTTCTGCTGAATGCCTGACAAACTTTGACTTTGTCTCTATGAGATCAGGGAACGCCTAGTAAAAGTAAATATTTATAACTTACTCTGGGTACTGACATTATCCTTATTCATCTTAGTTTTTTACGTATATATGTATTTACATATATATGTGGCATAAATATTTTAATAATCTTTAATACATATATTTGCTTAGTTTTTGTCAGCATTTTTTTTCTTTTAAAACATTCCCTTATATTGTAGAGTCATTCCTCGGTATCCATGGGAGATTTGTTCCAGGACTTCTGCCTGCCACAATACCAATATACTCATATGTTCAAGTCTCTGGTATAAAGTGGTGTAGTATTTGCATATAACCCGTGCACATCCTCCTATATATTTTAAATCATCTTTGAATTATACCTAATACAACGTAAGTGCTGTGTAAATAGTTGTGGTGCAGTGTTGTTTAGGGAATAATGACAAGAACAAAAAGTCTGTACATTTTTCATACAGACATCATTGTCCCCCTCCTTTTTTTTTTGAGATGGAGCCTTGCTCAGTTGCCCAGGCTGGAGTGCAGTGGCATAATCTCAGTTCACTGCACTCTCTGCTTCCCAGTTTCAAGCCATTCTCCTGCCTCAACCTCCCAAGTAGCTGGGATTACAGGCATGTGCCACCATGCCCAGCTAGTTTTTGTATTTTTAGTAGAGACGGGGTTTCATTGTGTTTGCTAGGCTGGTCTTGAACTCCTGACCTCAAGTGATCTGCCTGCCTTGGCCTCTCAAAGTGCTGGGATTGCAGAGGCGGGGTCTCCCTAAGTTTCCCAGGCTGGTCTTGAACCCCTGGGCTCAAGCAATCCTCCTACTTTGGCTTATGAAAGTGCTGGGATTACAGACGTGAGCTACCATACTCAGCCTTCCCAAATATTTTTGATTTGCCGTTGGTTTTATTCACATATGAAGAACCCATGGATTTGGAGGGTTGACTGTATGTCCTTTTAAAAGACACTTTAAACTTTAAATACGTTTTGGAACAAAGTAGACTGTAAATCAGATATATGCTATTTAGATACCTAGTTAAGGATACTTGTTATTTTAAGCTTTAAAAATTTTTTAAATTTAATTTTGTATTTTAAAAATTTAAAACATACCGAAAAACAAAGTACAGTATACTCACATTTAGTCATCACCAATATTCAACAGCTGTTCATCCATCGAGTCTACCCATTTAGTTAAACTTCATCATATATCTTCCCAAAAAGGACTTATACGTAACAGTACCATAACTATATCTAAGAAACAATTTCCAAGTATCATCTAATATCCTGTCCATGTTCAAATTAGTCATTTGTCCCCAATGCCTATAATACTAATTTTTTCCTTGGGAAACAAAGGTCTCTTAGCAACATCCTGAGTTTTAGATTTTTTAAATTGTATTTTCTGCAAGTTGGAAATTAGGTTTAATAGCTTGATTAGAGTCAAACATATTTGGCATTCAGAAAACTTCGTAGGTAAAGCTGTATAATGTCACATCTTAGAATGTTTATCATCTGACTCGATGTTAAATTGGATTACTGGGTTAAGGTGGTGAGAGCAAAATCTCTTCTTCCTAAATACTTGAGATGGCAAGTAATCTACACAGAGATAGCAGCTTTGGCAATATGAAAATATTTAGTTCCTCATCAGCGTTTTTCCTAATGGTTTTATGCATCCATGATTATATTCGCTGGAATCAGTTGTAGTGAAGTGATGGCTTTCTATATCTAACTTTTCTTTTA